GTCATATTTTTGTCTTCACATTTGTATATTCTGGCAGATTTAGCTTTCTATTCTTCGCGACTTGTTTTCAAGTTACTGGCTGCTATGATACTACTCGACACCAATGTAGGATCGTTTGTACATGTCATATAGACAATCGAGATAAACAGAAGTGAAAATGATAACATTGATGGACTTTACGGTTTAAAATTCCTGGATGGTATTTTATTGCACAATACTATAATTTAGGGGTCGCGGACGTGGCTGTGGCCTATTTTGCCGTATCTCATATACTTCTTCGTGTCCGCATTTTGATGTACTTTGATTCGTTCCGTACGAAACCATGTGACTTTTCGATGAGCGAGCATCACACCATGACACCTTGTCGCAATTCCCAGTTTGCTTCATACGCATCCGCACTGAGATGGTAACATTCATTGGGGAAAGGCCATCCGTAGCGCATTCTTTCCTGAAACAAGGTGGTTTATTTGAATTCAACGGCGACTTTGGAATCCTACGCAGAGTCGGCCTGGGTGCAGCTAGTATATTTAAGCATGACATGTCGCTATCTATACTATCCCAAGTGGGACCAGGCAAATAACTGCCTTTTTTAACCAAGTTCAATTCGGTCTTGATATTCTGCTTGGGATCGCCTTCTCTAGAAATACACGGGGAAAGTGTGAAAGACACATCTGTAGCAGGGTCGAGGTCATATAGATCCCGTGTGAGACTTTCTAAGCTCCGTGGACTGAGTGGGCTTTGAAGCGCCAAGTTAGCGTCGTGCAGCTCGACAATGCACGTTCCGGGTGGGGTTTGCTGTTCTGAGCCAAATCTGCGTTTATCAACTCGCTTCAACAGACTCTTTCGCAATGAATACAAAGTTATGCTAGAGCAACGTCCTATAAAGGACTTTAATTTGGACGAGGCTACCATAGTCAACTATGATGAATTTGTGAACTGTGCTAGTGATATTTTTTTATTACACCAACTGAATCATTAAACATACAATGCGATGGATAAACAGTAGCGACTCTCTAGAGTGTACTGCTAACTAGTAAAGAGAGAGTGTGTGTGAGACACTGTGAGTTGAGGCCGTTCTTGTTGTGCGAATGGCGAGTGTATGGAACTTTCTCCAGAGATTCATGATCACATTTCACATAAAAAAATTTAAAATATGCTGGCCGTATAGCCGCACTTAAATTTTATATACTCATGCTCTCAAAGGGGACAAGCGATATAGATAGTTAATCTCTGACTCGTCTGTGTTGATCAGAGTCTCTGAGTCACAGACTTGTCAGTTGTCACAGTCTCACGGACAGCAGACTTACACTCCTCACAGTGAGACTGTGAGTATTACTTTTTACAATGAATCATGTTAGTGATTGTCGTTACTCGTGAGTCAGAGTAGTGACACGCTCAAGTCTCAAGTCTCAACTGCTCCAGTCTCCTATATTTAGTTCTTTGCAACGAAAAAAGGAAAGAAAGAAGGAAAATCCAAAGAAAAACTAGCAGACACTGGACAGCTGGACAGTGGACACAGTGTATGACTGTATGTATGTACTTGATTTGTATCCTTTTTGTTTTGAAAAGCAAAAAAAATAACAACAACGGTTTGGCCAAATACCAATTGAACCACCTTGCTGATTTGGTTTACTCATTTACTCTAGGTATGCTCATAGGAACTTTATCTGTATATCTTTGGCTTTTTAGTTTTTACAATTTGTTTTATTTTTATTGTATATATTAAAAAAAAATGGAAAAACCAAAACGCAAATAAAGATGTGTGGTGCAGTCAGAGACTCGGATGACGGATGATGGACCACGGACCACGGATGTACAAATGACAATTGTACTTCACCTTATTTTATTGTAAGTACTTCAAACCCTGACTTTGACAGATCATGGAACTCGAAGTAGTGATTAGTGACTAGCGGAAACAGCTCGTACTGACCTGCTCTTGAAAATCACCAAGACACTTTTTCGAAAAAGTGTTTGGTTCGAGCTCCACCAAAACCAAAAATCTCAAAAATTGGCCGTTTTAAATATGAACCTCACTTATTTGGGTCGATATCGGACACTTTTAGGGTCGATTAATACCTGACAATAATCCAAGAGTCCCTTTTGACATGTGTTGTCAGTTGTCACTCACAAAGATAGAAAACACTAATATGAGAAGTAGCCGTAGTGAGTGCCGTACCATTACTATACTATATGTATAATGTGTATCTAACGTTAAACATTTTTTGAAATAAATTTTATAAACGTTAAATGAGGGGAATGAAGAATTTGAAATCTCTCAGCACAAACGTCAGTCGTCAGAGAGTGAGTACGGAGTACGGTGTACAATTGATCTATACGGATTTTATCATCCTTGTAAATTTTTTATCACTCTTGATTATTTGATCAAGAATACTATTCTAATGTACGATTAAATTAAATTATACTATTCGTCTGTTATTTTATTTCTTTATCATTTCTTTGCGGAATCTCAAGTATATTGCACAAATGCGAACAAGAGAGAGTACAGCAGATGCCAGATAGTCTGATAGTGAGATAGGGCTAATTAATGAATAACGATTAATTAGACTCTTAAATAGAGACTCTAGTGCTAAGCTGAAAACGTTATCCGATATAACGTATATAAATAATTAAATTCTCGATTCACGTTCAACGTTTATGTACTATATAGTCCATCTCATATATGACTGGGTGCATTCAAGAGGCCATGTCATGATTCCATTATGTCCTGAAATTTTGGCACCAGAAAAAGCCGCCAACGCGACAAGGCAGCTTCGCTACCAAAAACTGTAGCGGCGAAGTCGTCGGTCAAGTCACTATTTATTTAAATTCATTCTTTCCATCAGATAATCAGTGTGTGTACTTTCGTGGTCCCCGGGGTCGTCTTCGATCATTCTTTGTGCGGTGTAAGTATACAGTAATCTGATTGATAATTCATGACAGTGTTGTGATTATCGTTGTGTTTCGTGGCATTATAACTGCTAGACAGCTAGCCACTAGCCGCTTCTGATAACTGGGCCTGGCCGCGGGCCCCAGCATGACTAAGTGCCAGCAGTTGATCGGTCGGTTTACGTGAAAGGGATGCTAAAATTTCATTGGCTAATTTGAGCTATGTAGTCCGTTTCGCTGGAAATTAGTGTATGTTGCAAGTACATTTTTCAAACTTTCACTCTCCATATTTGACCCCCCAAACCGTTGTATCGTTTATTTTTAATATAAATATTTGCCTTTACGTTGGCCGTATATAGCGTAACGTATTAGTCTTGTGTGCACAAAATAGTACCAAGGAGCAAATACAAGAAATTCCTTTAGGTTCTACCACCCCCCTCCCCGAGTGGTGACACTGGTGAGTGGTGGGTATTGACTGTTGAGTATTGACTGTTGACGTGACTATTTGTTACCGGTTTAGTGGCCAGTAGAATTAAAGCGGACACTAGAAGGAAGCATCAAGTGAAGTTAAAAACGTCAACAAGTGCAGGAGTAACCAGCACTCTATAGTAGAGAGTGTCAATGAGGGGTAGGGCTGGGACCTGGGGACCTGGGGACCAGAGTCCAGACTCCAGACTCCCCAGTGTGGCAGTGAGTTGTTGTTTTGTTGTTGGGGTTTGTAGCTGGCCTAGTAAACGACCTGTCTTTTGGCTTTGGCGACACGACGCGACGGTCTTTTACTTACTTTTTTAGGCGACATGTCGCGACATCAAGGTCGTGACATGTCGTTAGGTCAAGTCGGACCTGCACCTTTTTGTTCTGAAAAATCAATGTACGACCAATTAGATATTATTTTTAGAATATCCATCAATAATATATGCGTACGCTTGGACCGGTGCACCTGAACCCCAAAAAAGGTGAACTGACATGGACACCCCTGTAGACGACATCTAGGCGCTTTTCCAGGGTATTTTAGACGACATATCGCTACCCTCATTCCAGGCCAGGTTTGTAGTGGTTTAAAAAAAACCCTCCCCCAAAAAACAAAACAAAACAACAAAAATAAAAAACGAATTTAAAAAAGAAAAAAAAGACCCAAGGCCAAGCCGCCAAGTCCAAGGGGATTTATTATTGTTGTTTTAAAAAAAAACAAAAAACAAATGCAGGCTGTTTTTGCATAAATACCTTATAAATAAATTCCTATAAATTTAAAAAAAAGTGTTTTGTATAAATTGTATGTAAATATGTATTCACTTTTCTCTCTCTCTCTGGGGGAAAATACTCAAAACTGCGACAAACAAAAATGGTGACGGGGATTTGGGACTCTCGCCTGTTACTGAAGTGTAATAGTTATAAAATCTTGAAATCTAAAAAGGGAAAGGGGCCTTTATCTGCGCAAAGAAGTGACAGACACTCGGTGAAACGGAGGCATCTTCTACATAAAGTATGGCCAATAAAAGCGTGACGGAAACAAAAGTGCGGAATATCAAAACCAGAAGGCGATGAGAAAATCAACGAAGTCTGGATTCTGCTGGGGCCCTGGGGCCGCCGCCCTGGGCCCTGAAGACTGGGACTCTGGGTCCTGGTAAGGACTCAGAAGTTCTCACTCTCAGACTCTCTGACTCAGTCTCTCAGTCCTCAGACCTCAGTTCACTGGCCGTCTCACGCCGGAATCCCGACTCCTTGAGTCCTGAGTCGACCGGCCTAATACCTACGGAGTTATGCCAGGCACGATAGGTCAGGACTCAGGAGTCAGGGCCCTTGATAGGTTAGATTCTATTATTCAGTGTATCAGGGTTAATGATCCTTGGTAATCTTATATTCTATTAGTCAGAAGAGAAAGGGTCTTGAATATATCGTGATTCTGTTGGAGTTTGTCATAGGTGTATTTGTCAGCGGGTAAGGAACAAGCACCCTTGATAATCGTAGGTTGTATTGGTTGCAAATAATAGTTAGCGATAGTCTGTTGGTTTATTTTGAAATTTTGCTTCTATTTTTAAGTGGAGTTAAGGCTAAAAATACAACAGGCTTTGTTTTTTTCAATTTTTTTTTTTACAGACGAATGCAAAGGACAAAAAGCCGGCGTCTGAGGGTTTCGCTGACTGCTCGATTCCGCACGCACGACAAAATATTTTCAACTATCCACTCAAACGCACCGCACTTTTAGCTCTTAACTCGAGTCATAAACATATGCAGTGTGATACAAAAGCTTAGTACACTATATCAGTGATACGGAAGCAAATAGTGTATTATAGTGGGATATCTATCGGTCAGACATTACTGAAATATTCTTAGATCAAGTGAAATAGTGCGTACAAGTTTCCACCAATCCCATAGAATTTCCCATAGAATATGAGCGCACCGGGTGGTGGCGCCAGCAGTGGCGTGCCTGAAGCGGCTGAACCGGAAGAACTGTTCCTACTGCGGCTGCCTGAGAATCACGCAGCACATTTGAGAGACAGACTCAGAAAGAATACATTGGGAGAGAACTTGACTTTCAATTTTCAGGGTGTGTATAGTGTTCTATTATTGGTGTTGCAACTCGCTAATGAATGCGGCATGTTTGTTTGCAAGGTGTGCTTTGCTTTTGCGGATGTACTTGTCAGATATAGGCGTGTGATTTAGTGGTAACATGTGCTGGTGGAATGCATCACACTCGATACGCTAGTAGAAGCTGGACAAATATAAGGCACAGAAAGATAGGTATACTAGAAAACGAGAAACATGCACTCGACTATTGAACAGGCTGCTCCTTCATACGGAATTTGCGCGTACAAGTGGTGTTACAGGCTGAATAAATATGCGCACAAGCGCTAATTTATTTTTAGCTTTACTTTCGAATTTGGCGTTCGAAACTGTATGTAGCGGTTCACAACTACGCAGCTATTGAAACAAGTGCCTAAATACGGTACTCGTGCCTTCACATTGTGATACCGCTCCCTATAGGCTTGCGCATGTACTTAAAGACCTCTATGTACACTCTCATGCAGCCATAATTAGGGGTTAATTGATTCAAAGCTTTTTCAGATCTCATGTGAGGTATGAAGTTACTGGGCACCTCAGTTCACTGCAGCAATGCAATTCACAGAAACTTACAAACATACGCACCACGGGATACTAAATACCCTACTAGACAAGTCACGATCTAATCTGACGCCGCTGAGCATGCATGCTATGTACGCCATACACACCACCACAGCCTTATACTTAGCTTGAATCGAATCCTACCAAAACGAACTATTTCGGCGATAGCATTTATTGTGTGTGTCCCATTGGAACAGGTGTCCAGGGTCGAATCCCGGTGCGCGAAAGTATGAGGTTTATGATCGCGAGCAGTACCAGGGCTAGATATATAAACGCACTGTATATCGATATGCTTTTCTTTTGGTTTACCTCATTACTGATTACAAACTACCACCACTTCTCGGTTACACTCCTAGACACACGCCACTTGAAGGTCGGCCTGGGCGATGCAGAGCTCAAAGGCACTCTGATGGATCTGCCTTGTATTGTCGAGTGCCAAAAGACGCTGGATGGTAGGTTTTACACGCCTACCTCTATACATCAAACTACACAGGCTTCTGAATGTGCTCACCGAGTAATTCCACAAAAAGTTTGGGGGGTTTTATAAGAGCTGCATATATATATATATATATATATATATATATATATATGTATGTATGTATAGTAGTATAGTATTATGTATGTAGTTTGTATGTATGTGTGTGTGTTGT